CAGGGAGACCCTGCCTCAAAAAGACCAAAAGAAAAAAGAAAAAAAAAGTCAATAAAATAATATATATGACAGTTTAGTGTACGATTTCAAAACATTTTCCAGGCATTTTGAAGGGCTTGGTGCTAGCCAGTACGGGAATTGGGGTTTTCTCTACTTTCCTGAATTTACCTCTCAGCTCTGCAGAGAAGCCTGGGCATTCCCTGCCTCACAGGCTGCAGCTAGTGAATGACCAGGTGAAGATCTGTGACCGCAGTGGGTGGAAGGTGAGCAGGAGCCCAGTCACAGACTGCATCTCAGATGGGATCCAGGTAGAGATGATGGCACAGAGGGAGGACCTGGCCCCCACCCGTTATAGTCAACGGCTGTGGGAGCTCTCTATATGGGGAGAGGGATCCGACCCCATCAGGAGCTTAATGTGCTAACCTTTGTGACTTTTTGCTATTCCCTTTGAAGTTCAGATCAGCTAGCCAGGCTGTCAGGCAAAGCTAATCGTGCATGTCTTCTTGGGCCTTGAGGCTGCAGCATCAGTAGCTGTCCTGGGTGAATGGGGGTGCCCCTGTCTGTGCAGTGCAGATCATCGGCTCCCTCTAGATCTGGGGCAGGGACAGAAAGCCCAGAGTAGCAGAGTCCAGGCAGTGTCTTCTTGCTGGCAGACACCACTTATTTGGGGTTATTTACGTCATTTCCAATCACTTGGGATAACATGAATGCCATTCAAATCAAGAGAAATTACAAAACCTTCCATATCACTGATGTGCATTCTGTAGAGAAAATAAATACCAGTCACTGTTTCCTGGTGCTTTGCCAACTCCAGATGTTTTTTTATAATCTGGAGAAACACCACATTTCTCATTTTCAATTGGGATTTCAAACCTCTGGCTTTGCTTGAAAACAAGTTTCTACCTGCTCTTACCCCTTGGTACAGCCATTTATTTTAAAACAGTGTCTGGGTATACATAAAATTCTGCTAGAGAGAAAGCATCAGTTGACCTTGACAGCTAGCTTTCTCTTCCTCTTTCTTACTCTCTTTTTGTCTGTTTGTTTTGACAGGGACTTACTATGTAGCCCTGCAGCTCCCTAGGTAGACCAGGCTGGCCTCAAACTCACAGTAGTCCACCTGTCTCTGCCTCCCAAGTACTGAGATAAAAGGTGTGTGCCACCATTCCTGGCTTGTGCATTTTTTAAGTGTTTAAATTTTTTCTTTTTCATAGGTTTTTAAAAACATTGCAGTAAAATATGCATAACTTAAAAATTTTCCCTTTTAACCATTTGAAGTATTCTCTTTGAAGTGGGAAGTGATTCCTTCTAATAGCTTGCTTTTCTTCTGCTTCTTCAGCTTTTTTTTCTACAGCAGAAGTGCAAGGGAGAAGTAGTCACTGCTAACCAGTACCCACCAGAAGCAGTCACTGCTAACCAGTACCCACCAGATACAGTCACTGCTAACCAGTACCCACCAGAAGCAGTCACTGCTAACCAGTACCCACCAGATGCAGTCACTGCTAACCAGTACCCACCAGATGCAGTCACTGCTAACCAGTACCCACCAGATGCAGTCACTGCTAACCAGTACCCACCAGATGCAGTCACTGCTAACCAGTACCCACCAGATGCAGTCACTGCTAACCAGTACCCACCAGATGCAGTCACTGCTAACCAGTACCCACCAGATGCAGTCACTGCTAACCAGTACCCACCAGATGCAGTCACTGCTAACCAGTACCCACCAGATGCAGTCACTGCTAACCAGTACCCACCAGATGCAGTCACTGCTAACCAGTACCCACCAGATGCAGTCACTGCTAACCAGTACCCACCAGATGCAGTCACTGCTAACCAGTACCCACCAGATGCAGTCACTGCTAACCAGTACCCACCAGATGCAGTCACTGCTAACCAGTACCCACCAGATGCAGTCACTGCTAACCAGTACCCACCAGATGCAGTCACTGCTAACCAGTACCCACCAGATGCAGTCACTGCTAACCAGTACCCACCAGATGCAGTCACTGCTAACCAGTACCCACCAGATGCAGTCACTGCTAACCAGTACCCACCAGATGCAGTCACTGCTAACCAGTACCCACCAGATGCAGTCACTGCTAACCAGTACCCACCAGATGCAGTCACTGCTAACCAGTACCCACCAGATGCAGTCACTGCTAACCAGTACCCACCAGATGCAGTCACTGCTAACTTGTTTTTTTCTGAGTGCATTCAGTCCTTCATATTCATGGTGTCTGCACTCAACCAACAAATGTGATCAAAAGAAATTTTAAGGAACTAGAGAGATGGCTCAGAGGTTAAGCACACCACTGCTCTTGCAGAGGACCCAGGTTCAGTTCAGTTCAGTTCCCAACACCCAGATGGTGACTTACAACTGTCTATAACACCAATTCCAGGGGTTCTGACACCCTCTTCTGGCCTCCACAGGGCACTGCACGCATATGATGCACATCATTCATGCCAGCAAAATACTCATATACATTAAAAAGTCTTTAATTTTTTTTGTGTGTGTCTTTTTGAAGCAAGGTCTCCCTGTAGCCCCAGCTGTCCTGGAACTCTCTATGTAGACCAGGCTAGCCTTGAACTCACAGAGATCCACCTGCCTCTGCCTCCTGCGTGCTTGTTTTAAAAGCATGCACCACCACACCTGGCTTAGTGTGTATTCATTGTATACAGTGATGGTTTTTATATGGACAT